GTGGGGAAAAGAGATATTGGGAACAAGAAGCAATAACCAGTGGTAATGATAGCCCTGAGAATGTTAACCAGTTAGAGGAATGCTAGATAATATCAAAGAGGGAATATAAAGGAATCAAAGAAGGGAAACTCTACACTAACTTTGGCTGTGTCTATTGCCAGTGGTGTGCATAGCAAACCATGATGACATAAAAATGGCATCTGTGTGGTACAATGTCTGATGCTAATATGTAAGTCACATGATCTGCATCATGATGTTATGCATGTTTGTTATTTGTCCCCCTATAGATGTCCATATCTATTGTTCCTAGTGGCCAATAGTTTGAAAAGGTACAATCTTCTAGTGCATCTCATGTGGGTGAGGATTAGGATTTTCCATTTTATCCCTGATTTGTGGGAGGAGTAAGATCTTGATTTTTAGATTGTGACAAGTCTACTCTAGGGCTTTTATTCTCAGTTCCACGTATTCCCCTTCTCAGCATAATGAGAAAAATTGGGGAATCCTGGGGAATCTGAGGCTGCATGTGATCCTGTGACAAACGGTTGCCTGCTCCTGTCTACCCAGACTAGATGGTTGCAGATCTTTACCAAAGTCTCTCAGTGCAGTTTACAGCTCATGCAACTATCATGTTTGTTAGCAACATGCTATTGTGTGCTTTTCCAAATTTGGACAATAATTAATTTATCATTCCTTTCCAGCCTTCCTTTTGGTAGCAAAAGCATGCTACGTTCTCCAATATCTTTCACTCAGAGCTGAATCAGATTCTCTTTAAAGCTATATGGTGTTTAACAGCAGGCAGCTTCCCCTTAATGTATGTATTTCCCATTTTGTAAATGAAATTGTATGCTTTGTTGCTGGATTCAGCTATAGTGGTCGTTTTATCTAAATGGACTTTACCTTGTGACAGGAAGAACTCGTGATCTACTGCGGCCTATCTCATTCTAAAAGATCTACCTGGGTTGGTGTTCAGTGCAGGCTGTTCTGTACAGTGATCTCTTTTTGACATTTGGGAAAGTGGCTAGCTACAGAATGATGGTGGCTTTTCATATTGGTTTCAGATTATTATTAGTACTATTACTACTACCATGACTACTACTATTATTTCTATGTAGAAGTCATATTGTTATATTGCTTTTGGTTTAAACTTGCCTTTGCTTGGATATAAAGGTACATAAATTATTTGATGAAGGTAGCATTTATTTATGTATTTATATTTCAAATTTGTCACTGCCCATCTCACTGCAGAGTGACTCTGGGCAGTTTACAGTAAAAAGAATAAATATTAATTAAAATACATTACAACAAGACTTCCTATATAAATAATAAATATCTTCCAAGAAACAGATGTTAACTAGGAGTTATTAGACTCGGGGAGCGTCTTCAAGGCACCAGCCACCCCCAGGATTGATAATATCCCTTCTTGCCCCATGTGGGTCAGCAGAGCCATGTCTTCACCCCTTTCCGGAAGGCCGGAAGAGTGGGGGGCCGCCTCACCTCTGGGGGAAGAGTGTTCCATAGGGTGGGGGCAATGGCAGAGAAGGCTCTCCTCCTGGGCCCCGTCAGTCAAGATTCTTTTGTAGATGGGGTCTGTAAGATACCTTCTCTGCCTGACTGGGTGGGATGGGCTGACGTAATGGGGATGAGACGGTCCCTCAGGTAACCTGGTCCCATGCCATGTAGGGCTTTAAAGGTGATAATTAACACCTTGAATTGGACTCAGAAGCAAATTGGGACCCAATGCAGCTCCCACAGCAAAGGTGTTACATGTGCCATCCTTAGAGCACTGAAAATTGCCCATGTGGCTGCATTTTGCACCAGCTGTAGCTGGATACTCTTCAAGGGTAGCATGTGAAAGTTTAAGATAAATTATTAACAAATAAATAAACTTTTGTATATATCTTGTATGTTCCTTGTATTCCATGAACGAACTACAGGAAAAATAGCATTTGAGTCAGATTTACTTCCAAGCCTACAGTATGTAGGAAAGACAGAGACTTTGATTCTTAATATGCCTTTATAATATTCCCTCTTGTGCTGCCAAAACTCCTAGCGTGAGTCAAACATAAAAGATTCATTTTATTTTTCCCTTTACTTGTTGTTTAATGGCAAGTTTTCCAGAGACTCCAAATTGTTTTCTTGAAACAAGAGAGAAAAGTGTGAATGATTGCTAGATAGATCAGAAGTGAAAGATTGTAATACACAAGGAAGAATGAAGTTTTCTATCTGCATTATTTATTGACTAAATGAGTTTTCTTGACAATGTAGACTATAGCTCCAGAGGATTGTCAGTTATAAGACTTGATAGTTTTTAACATAAACTTCAGTCAACTGAACTAACTTGACTGTGATGTTCAAAAGAATCTCATCACATCCTGTTCAGTAAAGATGTGAGTAGGTAAACTGTGTTGAATGCAAATCCCTAAAATCTGATTTCCCCCCACCTATGCTGTGTTAATTTTTGTAGTATTTCATTCTGCAAAGCCTGGGTTTTGTAACCTCCTAGTTAATTTCAAATCAAGGGTTGAAACTTGCTTTAAAAAAATTTAAAAACTTGCTCTTTTATATCATACAGCTTTATTCTATCAAGTCACCAAAAGAAGATAGCTGAAACTATATTGAGCTGTGTAGCACCCCAAAAAATCAACAAACCCCAAGGTTATTCCACATTGTACCATTTTGTTCCCACTACCCCTGTTATTTTCAGACCCACACAATCTCTTTGCACCACCCTAGAAATAATTTGATACTGAATAAATGAAAATTAATTTCTTTTGTTTTCTCTTCTTTGCAAATAATATAATTTCTTTACTTTTCTGTAGCAGCACTTGCCCTCTGGAATGAGGTTCTTCCTGAGAATGGCCCCTACCCTACTGGTATTTCAAAGGGCCCTGAAGACGTGGCTCTTTGCCCAGGCCTTTCTTCCTTTTCCTTGTTCCCATTTGGGTTTCTTTTCTCTGCCATCTTTGTTTTTTTGTTTTGTGATTATTTTTTTTTTGGTTTTTGTATTGCTCCTTGTTTTTAACAATTTGTAAAGCACCCAGAGTCCCTGGGAGTCAGGCAGTGTATAAATTTAATAAATTATTTTTGTTGTTATTATTACCTGGCAGAACTAGGTATCAGTTTTCCATTCAAAATAAGTGGAAAATAAACAAATAGGGGACTATCTGTTTCCATTTATGAACAGAAACAAGGAAGTAATACTGATTACTTCTATTCATAAAACTACATATGTCTGCTGGCCATGCCTTTCCCATTCCTTGGCGGCTGTTCAACCAGCCAATGAGAAGGCAACTACCTTAAGAACAGGATGTACAGCCATTCTTTCGAAAAACAAAAGAGTTAGATTTTCCTCCATCTGAAAAAAAGAAGGAAATATGGAAAAAATGAGGAAGACAATGATTGATGACGATGTCAGGTAGATAACATGTAACAAGTATGTGAATAAAATGTGGCAATTGCACAGAAAATGCTTATAATGAAACTATCCAATAATTTCTTTTGGATGTATACTTCAGGAATCTCTTGATGTAAATAGACTTCATACAAGATTCCTCTATCTAATGTTTGACACCCCCCTCCCCACCCCCCGCAATCTCCAGTATTGCTGCTTTTAATATCTTGGAAATTTTAATATCTTGGAAGTATTTTCACCATTCCTTTGTACAAGCCCATTGTCAGTATAGTGTTGTTTGTAGGGTGTAGTAAGTCAGAATTCAGGATGCACAAATTAGATTACTATGGGTTTTCATTTATTTAAGAAAATAGCAAGATTTTAATTGTTAGCTGTTTCTAGCAATATCTATTTTGTTTTTATTTGTACTGATTTTACTCTCATGTTTTATAATTTGTACTTTGTTTCACTGTTTTAAGCTGCCTTGGGTGCTTCTATAGCAGAAAGGTAAAGTAGCAATTTAATAACAACTTCAGAGACAAAGAAAGTGATCAAAAAAGTGATTTATTTTGAGCTAATCTTATGTATGCGTCATTTAGGAGTGGATAACTGTTTTCATTTATCAGTTCTGATTTTTTAATGTTCTTAATTACCATTTTACACTGTTGTTCTACATCCATGTAGGAATAAACTCTGTTGAACTCAGTGGGACTCACTTCTAAGTAAACATGTATATATTTGAGATAAGTGGCTATACAAATTGA